ATGAACCTGAGGAGTCAGTTGGTAGCCTTTGATTGATTAGGACTACAGCTTTGGGAGAACTAGAGGGAGAAAATTGAAAATAATTTTATAGGCAGCAGTTGGATTAAGGGCAGAATGTGTGCAGGCTTTGGGCTTGGGCACAGACTTGATTCTTCTTTCATTTAACTCTTCCTTTTGAAAAACAGTAGTTGAGGATGCTAGGCTTGAAGTCAACTTCGAGAGGGAAGTGACCAGAGCCAGGCAAATATCTGATGCCTTCTGTCTTATTCTTGGCTCCCACAGCCTTGACTCTGGCTCAGGACCGAGTCAGCCCATCCCCAGGTGGTATGTCCTGGTCCTCTTCCATGTACACCAGGGGATAACAGGATAAAGACAGGGAAAAGATGGAGGTTTTCCCTACTTGGGGTAGAGAATCATTGACCAGTTCCACTGGCTTCTATAATCATGAGGTTCACGCTGACTCCATCGAGAGCATAGGGACAGCAGGACTGATTTAGCAAACATAGGTCCCTCTCCTTCCTGCTCCATCACATCCCCAGAATTACTTTCCTACACATCAGATGCCTCTGCACAATTACCCTGGATTACCACAGCCAAGGGTTCTAGGTGGCCACTGGTGGCATAGAAACAGATCAGATGCTCCAGCACTCAAGGTTCATAAGATTCAAAACCGATTTTCTTCCACTCCAAACATATACTCTTTTCTCTTGGGCAGCTATAAATAGGGTATTTCTAATAGAGGAAAAAGAAACAAAAACAAAAAACAAACCCAGAAAACAAAAACTCCTCCCTCTAGACAACATAGGAAGACTCAAAATGATTGCACTTATTAGGTGTGGACAGGGTGGGCAGGAGGCTTGCCAAGTGCACACACATTCCTTTTTGCTGCCCACAGCCTGAGGCCAGAGGTAGGTGGCTCCAGGCTGGCTGCAGAGTGGGGTCCTCTTTGGTGAAGCCCACAAGCCAGCTGGGGCTACAAGGGAAAGACAACTGTAGGGCAAGGCCTAGGCTGGTTTCATGTCAATGGCCATATTTCTTTAAGGATAACATGTAGCAAGGGGCGTAGGGCTCCCCCAGGGAGCACGCAGGTGGGGCTGAGGAAGTGGCTGGGCCAGGGAAGACAAGTACAAAAAGGTATTAGTGTTTGAAGTTGACTTCCAATTGTTCTGTGTCTAGTCCTTTAGATGATACATTTTCTTTTCTTTCTGTTTTCTTTTTTTGGGGGCAATGCTTTAAAACCTGGTTTCTGTCCTGCAGAGCTATAGTCTTTTAGAAAGCCACAGCGGGGCCTTCAACATGTTAATGCCTGCTGCTCTTCCTCATTTAGCCAGTGTCCACTAACTCAGTGTTGTGGGTCATTTGTAAACCCTTATGGAGTAGATCCCAGGCAGACGTGGGGAAAGAAAGAGAGAATCTGTACAGACAAGAAAGCTGGCCATGTGGGCAGTCCAGAGCTCAGTGTGTCCCAGAGGACTGGTGCTGGCATTAAGCCTGTAAATCAAAGGCTTCTTTGGCAGGACCCTGGGCTGTTAGAATCACCCTAGAGAGCAGAGCCAGGGGACATTTTGGCTCCTGACTAGCAAGGCACAACCCTATAATGGCAGAAGCCCTTCTTTCTCCTCCCCATTCCCCACCAGACCCACTTCCTTCATGGGCTTCTGGCACCCTTCCAAGCTGATAGGGCTAGGAATCTGAGCTGGTAAAATGGGCAGTAGAAGGGGCTGTACTGTTTCTTTACCTCTCAGGGGGACTAGAGCCAGTACTGAATGGCTTTTCTACAGGCCATGTAAGAAAAGGGGAAACAGAGAGACGGGCAGAAAGAGACAAGGAAAGGAAACTAGAAAGACAGAAAGGGAGAGTGCCTGGTCTGTGTAGTGATATTTTCTTTTTCCCTCCAAAGAGAGGAGAGAGTTCCTTTTCTGAGGGGAGGGGGCTGCCAGCTCTGAGGGCTAAGGAGTCTGAGGGCTTAAAAAATTGGGTCTCTGATCCTAGGGTTACTATTTGTAGGGCCTCAGGAAGCTGGAAACTTTGGAGCGGAGCAGCTTGATGAAGGATTTTGGCAGCATCTCCTTGTGTTTCTCTGTGTACTTGAAGTAGTTCTGGGGGTGCGCTAGCACCTCAAAGAAGGCCTTGATGAGCTTCTTGTCCTGCAGAGGATGACAGGGAACAATGTCAGCCTCAGTGTTGGGGGTGGGAAAGAGGAACATCGTGACTCAGCAAGCCCTTCTTGATGTCTACTAGGCATCTCATGCATGAAGGTATGCATATATCCAGAGGTAAATTCTGGATTCCCATCCCCACCATCTGCCCCGACTTTGGAATTCCACAAATGAGTCAATGGCAGCTCCATCCTTCTGTTACTTAAGCCCCAATCCTTGGGGTCATCCTTGTATCCTCTTTCTTGCTTACAATTATAGCAAATCTTATTGACTCTACCTTCAAAATGTGTCTGGATCTGACCACTTCTCACCATCTTCCCAAGCCACCATTGTCTCTGACTTAAAGCTGTAGTAGTCTCCTAATTGGTCTCCATGCTTCTACCTTTGTCCCTCCATAAACTGTTCTCCCCACAGCAGCCAGAGTGACTTTTTGTGTTTTTGATTAGTACATCTTTTTCCTGTTTGAAACTCTTTTCAGGTTTCTTTTATCACTCAGAGTAAAGCTGAGTCCCTTGCATGGTCCATAGGCTGAATGTGATCTGCGTCTTAACTTTCCACCTCCACTCTTTCTCCCTCTGCTGAGCCACACTGGCCTTCTTGAAGTTCCTAAACACGCTAAATTGCTCCCATGCTCCTCAGCCTGGAATGCTCATCCCTCATCTTCTAATGGGGAGGGAGCCCTTTTACCTTGTTTGGTTCTCTTCTCCTTAGAGGCCTTTCTTGACTACCCTGTAACAGCAGCATGGTATGTGGAGAGCCTACTAGGTGCCAGGCACTGTGCATTAAAACTCAGACTTTCTGGCTCCTAGGCTAGTTCTCCTTCCATGGCATCAGTGGATTTTTGCAATAAGAAGTAGGGGTTTCAGCCTCTCACCCCGCTTTAATCCAAGTAGCTGCACTGCCTTATGTGTTGGAGTTCCACAATACATTTGATTTGAAATAAGGGTTCAGATGGTTTAAAAATGTTTGAAAAGTGTTGTTAAAATTATATTCTTTGAAGTCTGTAAGTTCTAGGTGATTTCTGTCATCAAGGCTTTTATTTTGAATATAAAAATATTTTATATAAAATAAAAATTTTTTTATAAATTTTTATAAATTTTTAAATTTTATAATATAAAAATATTTTACTAACTTTTTTTTGCAGTGATAATTTATGAAGGATAATTCTATTTCTTAAAGAAGATTTTCTCAAATTGGGATCCATTGACCCAGGGCATCTAGTCCTGTCTTCAATGTTGGAAGTATTTCTTTTCCTTGAAAAGAAATCTATACATGAATTGATTTCTGAGAAAGCTGTGCTAGATTGGCTACTGCTTTTTTTGTTTTTGTTTTTTTGAGACAGAGTCTCACTCTGTTGCCCAGGCTGGAGTACGATGGCATGATCTCAGCTCACTGCAACCTCCGCTTCCTGGGTTCAAGCAATTCTCCTGCCTCAACTTCCCAAGTAGCTGGTATTACAGGTGCCTGCCACCACACCTGGCTAATTCTGTATTTTTAGTAGAGACAAAGTTTCACCATGTCGGCCAGGCTGGTCTCAAACTCCTGACCTCATGTGATCCACCCACCTCGGCTTCCCAAAGTGCTGGGATTACAGGCATGAGCCACTATGCCTAACTGATCTGCTGCTTCTTAATGGGGCCTGGGGAGGGAATAAGGGAAGGAAGGGACTGATGCTAAAGTATCTTTCTATACTTCATTTTCTACATATCTCTTGGTGGAAGAGGTAGAGACATTTCTTCTCCTCACCTTCCCTTTGTCTTCCAAGTTTCCCCAAGGTATAATATAGAGTGGGTGACACTGTAGTCAGATGGGCTTGGGCTCAAATCCCAGCTTTACCATGGGGCAGGTTCTTTAACTCTCTATGCCCCAGTTTTCTGATCTGTAAAAAGGGAATGGAGAAAGCACCTACCTCATAGAGCTATTGTGTATATCAAATGAGAATATTCATGTAAGCACTTAGCATATTGCCTGTACATTATTACATGTTCATTAAGTGTTAGCTATCATTATTGTTAACAATCACTTACCTTTAAAATCTCCTGGTGGTTTTCAGAGGCATAGAGCCGGCCGTCTCGCACAATGTCTTCTACCAGCTGCTCATAGTCCTCTGCAACGTCAACCAAGGAGGGGCTCAGGGGCGGGAGCTCTTCCTGCTCTCCTGGTTCCCTCTCAAAACTTATGTACCTCCCCTTCTCACCCACCTCCTTGGCTCACCATCATAGGTAACATAGGGGATCTGGAAGCCACGGGCACTGTTGGCTTCGCTTGTCTTGAAGTTGATCCAGAGCTTCCTGGAACGGGCAGTGAAGGCAATGGGGCGCTCATAGGTCTGGCAGGTCTCATAAGTGGTAATAGAGGATGGGGATGCTGGGAAGGCAAGCAGCAGGTCAGTACAGCAGCAGGGCAGGCTACCCAAGCCCTCCTAGAACGTGGGCCGTAGAGCTTACAGTGGGGGGTATGGGGAAAGAGAGAGAACCATTCTGACAAAGGCTACCCCTTCACATACACACATCTCACCCCGCACCCTCTCCCATTGCCCACTGGGCTCATTCACAATTCCTCCTTGATACCCGGGCACTCACATAGTGTAACACATTTGACATTTAAATAAATGGAATGGCAAAAATGCTATGATAGGAGTGATGTATGTAACACCATTGGAGTTCTGGCCCCACTGCTAGCTTTCTTAACTCTGTTCTCCACCAAACATGTATCATTGTTGTTTTCCTCTGTTAGCTTCTCTCTTCCTAAAAGCCTTTCACTATTTCACCCTCATAGATCCCTGACTTCACTGCCTCAGTTCTTCCTGTATCAGTCTCTCTGTCTTCCCGCCTTAACTAGATTTGGACTGCCCTTCCCTGGCCCAGCTCTGCAAGCCACCCACAGTTCTTTCTCATGACGAGGACGTCCCCACACTCATCCTCAGATGGCAGGAAGATCTCAGGTACCACGATAAGGATCTTGCGCTTGGGTGGGGGGTTGATGTTCCAGATGCACTCCACGCCGGCTGGGTAGTTGCCCGGGTAGTTGGGGGACTCGATATAGCCAGTGAACTCACCCAGCTCCCCACCACACTGACGATCTGCAGTCAGCCCCAGTAGATAGAACAAGAAAGAGAAGGGAAGTCAGTGGGAAAATGAGTTGGGGGAATTGAAGAGTTCTGAAGTAGAGGTCAGACATTTATGGGAAGCCTCCATCCTAGTTCATCATTATTTTCCAAGCTCTGGGTCCATCTTCCTTCCTGCCCTTTTAGTACCTTCTCTTCTCACTTCACCTGTCTCTGCTTCCTCATTACCTGTCTCCAAGGAGAGGGTGCTACAGAGTCCAGCTTAGCAACTGGCCTTGAGATTGAGTATGTTGGGAAGAAATGGAAGGTGGGGCTTTCCTCCCCCTCCACCCCCCAGCCCTGCTCCCTGTTGGTTTCACACCCCTCCTTTACATGTCTACTGCTCCCAGGCCTCTTTCCTCCCTTTTCCACAGCCTGGCTTGCCACGTACTCTTGCATTGGGCCACACTGGTAGAGCCATCAAAGTCTGTACTTGTGTTTCCTGGACAGCGGGTGCAGAAGTTCTGACGAAAGTCGGGCTGATAGGAGCCCATGGCACAGCGAATACAGCGATGGATGCTGGTGTCGTAGTAGTGCCCTGGGGAGCACTGGACTGCAGGCAAGGGAGAAAGGCAGGAATCAAGATGGTGGGCAGGTGAAAGTTACGGGGCATGGGATGGACAGGATACATTTATCTTGGAGAATCAGGAAGTCAGATACGTCAAAGTTCTTCCTAGGTTCTCAACCTTTCCCAGTCACGCCAGAATTTAAGCCCATGGAAAAACAAAGTTTACAGAGTGGTTGGCTACAGTGCCAATCCTTTTCTTTCAGATGCTGAGCACAGTTCCAAACCTATATAGAAATTCATTTGGGATATGGAGAATATGCCACCAGTTCTACAAAGTGGAGGGGTAAGTGGGACTGTTAATGATTCCTCAGTTCCCAAGCTTGGGACTGGTGGAGGGGCAGGGTGGGTCCTGGAAGCAGCATGGTATGGTTGGTCAAGTAGTTGGGCCTGTTGCTGGTTTGGAGAAAATGGTGGGTCAACACACTCAGGTCCACCCTGAGAACTTGGAGTATTTTGGGAGTAGTTGGGGTTGGGGAATCCCCCAGGGAGGTGAGTAGCTTACTCACCTTTTGTGTCACAGTCTTGGAAGGAAATGGCCCCTTCCTGCTTGGTGGTGAGGCCCCCACCACAAGGGAAGCATAGGGTCCGTCCTGTTTCAGGTTGGTAGGTACCACGTGGGCATGGCTGGCAGGGCTTGAAACCATCTACAGAGTGTTGGCCAGGTGGGCACTGACCTGCAATGAATCAAGGACCCAACTCTGATGGGGATGGTCCTGAGTCATCCCCATGGGGGTCACCCAATCTCAGGGGACAAAGGCATACAAACAGGATGTTGACTATAAGAGAGTGGCCTGGAGCCTGGGCCTAGAAATCCCATGCCCATGGGCATCCCAGTGCCCACCCTACCCCACTCTGTATTGTTTGTTCCCCTGGCACCTGCACACGTGGTGACGCTGGTGGCTCCAAGAGGCCCGTGGGCATCACTCCCAGGGCAAAGGTCGCAGGAGAGCTGCCCTTCTCTCTCCTGGAAGGTGCCCGCTGGGCATGGCACACACTGCTCCGTCTGGCCGTGGTAATATGTTCCCTGCGGGCAGCTGACTGAGGGAGAGTCGGCCGTGCTAGCCACCCCCCCCCCCCCATTTCCCACCACCCAGGCCTGGGACTCCCCACTCCCCCCATAGCCCCCGATTTAGGGAGAATCTCTTTGTCAGCAAACAAACACAATCCTACTTTGGGGGATAGGAGGGTCAAAGCAGTGTGCAGGAGGATTGCTGGCCCCACGTGGCATCCTTCTAGATTTCAGCCTGGGACCACGGAAGGGAGGACAGCAGGCAGTATCATCCTGGCTGCCTCATAATTTGAGAAACACAATTGAGGCCACAAAGGGTCCTGCTCTGAGCCAGGCTCAAACTGGGTCTTTCCCACATCCCTACTCCCCAGTAAGCTCCCTTACCACACTTGGCCCCAGCACGGTGCTGCCCAGGCCTACAGGACTCCATCGGCTCTGCTCGCTCCCCAGCTACTGGGCCCGGCTTGTGGGCCAGCTCATAATCAAGGCCTGCCAAGCGCAGCAGGAAGCGGTCCTGGTTGATGGACTTTCTGATCATCTTCAGGGATCCTTTCAGCCGCCGTTCCATTCGCTGTCGGAGACAGGGCAGCCCACAGCTGGCTGGTGGTGGATGGCCGTGTGTGTCAGGGAGGAGGAGAAAGAGTTGCTGTGAGCAGGAGGGCAGGGGAACAAAGCTGGGAGCTAGGAGGGGTATGGTAAGAGGGACTAGCTTTTAGGCTTGGCACTAGACAGGGTCTGCCCCTAGTACAGGCTCCATCCCTTCCTTTTGCTACTGAGACCTGTGGTTTCCCCACCTCTGCCCTCCCCTTCCAGTCCTCTTCCCAACAGGGCTCCCAGTCCCACCTGTGGTTTCTTCGGCTCTGACCTCTGCCTCCAGTTCCAGGGTGAGCCGTGTGACCTCCTTGCCTGGAGGGGTCCGGGCCCGTCGGCCCTTGCCCTTCCGAGAAGAGTCACACTTAAGGTGGATGAAGGTCACCTGGCATTCAGAGCAGGGGGCACCACCTGGGAGAGAGGGCTTGTCAATCCCAGGAGCATCCCCTGGAAAGTTCTCACTCCCAGTCTCACTTCTTCACCCAAACCCAGACAGACCTCCCCAGATCTCTGACTAACTATCTCTTAATCCTGTTTTAGTCTAGGGTCCTAATTAGTTGATGGAGGGGAATATTCTGGAACTTCCTTGGATCCTGTTGCCTATAGCTGCTTTTTCCTCTACTCTGCCTAGAGTTCAGGGTGCTGGTGGGTTTTTGAAAGAGATCTCACTAAGAGGAGCTGAGGGGTAAGGAGGGTTTAGTGGCCAGATAGCCAATTGGAATGGGGTCCCCAGTCCAGACCTGGCCCTGTGATTCTGCCAGCCTCCTCTGTTTTGCCTTTGTTTCGCAGGTGCAAACGACATTTGGCATCTTTGATCTTGAAGGAGACCCGTTGTTTAATGGGTATCACTGTAGCCTCTAGAGGGATGGCAGAAACTTAGCACAGTATGGGATGCCCGTGGAGTTCAGGGGTGCTGTGGGGGATGTTGAGAAGCTGGGCAATAAGCCAGGGGCTTGGCTGGGGAAGTGAGATTATGAAAGCCAAGGAGATCAGATATTAGGGCAGAGGGAGTGAGAGAGCAGGGTGGAGAATTACAACAGGGCAAAAAAGAGGATCCAGGAGAAAGGAAGGCCGGGGGATTGATGAAGAAGAAAAATAAGGGATTAAGCAAGAGAGTAGGGTGGGAACAAGGCTTCTGGGCTGGTGCTCACCATGGCAGTGGTTGGAGTTTGTGCTGTTCCCGTTGTGGCCAGCTCGGGCTGGAGCAGCCTTGGGGCTGGGGGTGCCACAGCTCACCGTGAAGCCATTCTCAGATTCTGAGAGAAGGAGCCTGTCACAGTTCTGACCTGCCTTCCCAACCCCCACTGGCTGGAGGAATTCAAGGGGAGTGAAGGAGCTGCCTGAATGGCCAGCCCTTCCTCTTTTCTCCTCCACAGCTTTCCAACACCCTCCTCCCATGTACCTGGCAAAAACCGGGCCCTGGAGGGACAGGTCAGGGCACAGGTGTCCTTCTTGCCAGACCGGTTGCAGCTGAGCATGGCTTTTGAGGTTCCAGGACTGCCTTGACATTTCACTGGCTCTAGGAAGGGGAGAGAGGCCTGAGGAAATGGGTACATTCCTTTCCCACTCTCTCCCTCAGTTGGGTAATTTGGAGGAAAATAATCAGCTACTTGCATAATAATTGTTGCACCCATGGAGACTGATGATGGGATTATTCACTACAAATTTCATGTCTTTAACTCAAAATGGCTACATTCTCCACCCTTTCCCACCTCACGCCTTTCCTCAACATGATACTCTATGCATTCCAGAACCCCAATGGCCCCGCGAAACTGCAGTGTCATCTTGGCCAGCAGAGGGCATTGCCCACCTGTGCAATCTTTGCCGTTCCAATGCAGCCGGCCGTGGCCTGCTGGGCAGGTACAGTGGTAGCTTCCAGGAGTGTTGATGCAGCCAAAGCGGCAACCTCCCCGGTTGATGCTGCATTCATCCACATCTGGGAGAAGGAGTAAGGAGACAGAAAAACAATGATGGGGTTGGAGGAGGAGTCAGAGAGTGGGCAGTGAGTGAGGGCCTTTGGTTAGAAAGTTCCAGGTACCCTGAGTTATGCAAGATGAGTAAGTTCAAGAGATCTACTGTACAACAATATGCCTATAGGTCACAATACTGTAGTGCACACTTAAAACTTTAAGGGAGTAGATCTCATGTTAAATATTCTTACAATTTAAAAAAGTTAAAAAAGCATTCTAGGCACTGTAAGATGACTGTTGGCTCAAACATCCTTTCCTTATCACTGTCCCCAAAGGAATGATTGAGAAAGGGCCAAGCTGACGAGCTTTTTCTTTTTTCGAGACAGTCTCGCTGTGTCTCCAGGCTGGAGTGTAGTGGTTCGATCTCAGCTCACTGCAACCTCTGCCTCCCAGGTTCAAGCCATTCTCCTGCCTCACCCTCCCGAGTAGCTGGGACTACAGGCATGCACTACCATGCCCAGCTAATTTTTATACTTTTAGTAGAGATGGGGTTTCATCATGTTGGCCAGGATGGTCTTGATCTCTTGCCCTTGTGATCCACCCGCCTCAGCCTCCCAAAGTGCAGGGACTACAGGTGTAAGCCACCACGCCTGGCCAAGCCAACGAGCTTTTTAGAGCCTTCTACTCCTCCACACCAGTGAGACCATCATTTGGGAGCTAAGAGTGGGGATTCAGGGACAGTGATAGCAATGGGAGATAGGAATTTTGGAGGCAGGATGCTGTTTCCTCAGTCTCCCAGCTGTTCTTAAGACTGTTATCTTAATTCCTCCTATTTTATCACAATGGATGCAGACATGGTACATGCACCCAGGGATGGCCATAGCCACAAGCCAACACAGGAACCTATTCAATTGGAGGGCGAAGAGGTGAGGGGGCCAGGGTGGTTGGGGGTGCAGGCTTACTAGCTTACCCCCACAGTGGGTGACACCATACAACAGGTAGCCACGATGGCAGAGACACTGGAAGCTTCCTGGTGTGTTGACACATATGTGGTCACAGGTTCGATCAAAGGAACACTCGTCTATATCTGGAAGAGCAAAGATTCAAGCCACTGAATGGAGCACTTGACCCTTGCTTAGGTGAAGGACCCAAAGCCTTGGTTTTCCCCCTTGAACTGAAGAGTCCTATTCATGTCCTAGCTTTGGGACCAGTGATTTAACCATGCCAATTCATCTTCTATGCTCCCTTTACTTGGAGTCCTTAGAATTAGGAAAGGCCACCATGTGTGGTTAGGTATATCCTAATCGGCCAAGGATATTGTCCTGTTCTGCCAAGGATATGAATTGGGGTGAAATCCATCCCTCCTTGCCAAGCTGAGTGCTTTGATATGGAGCTGGTCTGCTGAGGGGAAAGGGTACCATTTGCAAATTCACGGGATGACACTGTAGAGACTGCATGGTGTCTATTCTAAGACTTTAGTCCTCTGGCCTCTTTGAAGCTCTCCCACAAGAACCACTCCTAAGGCTTTCACTTTTGCTGGAGTCTGCTCACCCTGACAATTCCTCTCATTGATGAGAAGCTTATAGCCTTTCTTGCAACTGCATTCGAAGCTGCCCACTGTGTTGCGGCAAATGTGGTCACAGCCCCCGTTGTTTAAGCGGCACTCATCTATATCTGAAGAAGGACAAAATAGGATAAAAGATAATATCAAAGGCTGAGAACAAATAAGGAGAAAATCCCTCCCTCACTGACAGACATGCAAAAATCAAGGAG